TACCAACCATTTCACTCCAAGTAAGGACAAGATTAAAAGGGAATCTTTCCTTACAACTCACTGTTAAGTACGATGTTAAACAGAAAAGTGATGGGAAGAAATAAAAATACCCACTTAGGAACATTTGTTTGATTAAAGAAATAATTCTAAGAGCTTAAGTACAAAGAAAGTCAGTCAGGCAGCGTGGAGAATTAAGAATGAGATCTTGGAAGTAAAAGAGTTTAATGACCATCAATTCTAATCCATTACTTTTCAAAAGATTTCGCAAGATCAAGTCATTGACTATGTGGGATGTAGGTTATAGACACTAAGCCTTCGAGTTACTTGATGATCAAGCTGCGATATTCTCCCAGAGAGCTAATTTGTCGGACATCCAAAGATCCAGTGAGAAGGTCATGATTTTGGTATCTGATGGTACAGGCAAAATAAATATCTTTTTTTCTTACATTGTAACTGAGTAAAGGTATGACTAAGACTGTCACCTCACTGACTAAAAAACAACATCTTTCGATGTTTTTTTCAATTTTTGTGGTTGAATCTTAAAGGGTGGAGTTTACATGCATTTATCACATGACCTTACTTGTATGGCAGGGGAGAGGGGGGGTAGGAAAAATTATTCCCCATGCAACCAGCCATCATGATCGCGATCATTAGCTAGGAATAAAATTTACAAAGGAAAGCATAAATTTTTTGTTTGGGTATTAAATAAAAACAGCCCTTACCTGTATAGCTTAAACGCCGTAACTTGTTGACTCCAGATACAAGAAGTAATGTATCGCTTGCATTGAACTCGCAGAACTGAACATACTCCCAATTACGCTCCTGGAAGTTAATCTTCTGCGCCATACTGACACATGTACAACTAGAAACGCGCCACAGAATTACACTACAGTCTTTTGAACTTGAAGCTAACAACTGACCATTGTGAGAAAAAGTTACATGAAGGACTTCATCAGTGTGTTCTTCGAGTATCTGGCTTTCCACTAAAGGTGTTTTGTAGTGGATCCTTTGAAATTCCTTGAACCAAGAGGACGCCGATTTAGGAAGTTTCAGTTTGATCTTCTTGGTACGGTCCGGATATAAAGTTTCTTGGAGCAGTGATTTCCAAAGCATCTCGTCCTTGGACAGCCGATACCAGTTGCGGCACACTTGACCTGCATTTAAAGCTTCTTTAGGAGAAAGGAAAGAAAAGATGTCTAAAAGGAGATTGTCAGGAAGTTCCGTCCAATAAGGTTTGGCTGAGGATTCTTCCAGCAGTTGCGGGACAGCTCCAGCAGCGGAGGCTTTTTTGTGATCTTCGTCTACGATAAAAGACATTGCTATAAAACATTTCCCTCTAAAATGCAAGATCTTAACGGCTTCTACTAAAATATATATTCACAAAATAAACTAAAAGCGCACTGGCCACCATGTTACCGATTGTTTAGGCTTAGGTAACCACGCAATTGATGTCTTACGCCTCACCCACCCCACCCCTCGTAACGGAATTTAAACTAAGTTATCGGCCATTTGAATTTGTGACCGAGCAGGAACCATATTTGAAAGTGAAAGCTTCGCAATACAGTGGTTTAACGAAACTTTCCTTGGCTCATCTCCCTTTGAAAAGCACCGCTACTCTTCTAGAGTAGCCGGGATTTCTTATAATGATGCAGGTGTCCGTGAAGACGCTAGATTCGCAAACAAAAGTTTTCACGGTCTCTGAGGAGGTGAGAATTCGTCTGTAGTTGTCACTGAATCGCAGCTTTCTGGTTGTTTTTTCGTCTCTTTCCCGGAGTTTTATGGCTCTTTCTACTTCTATTATCTGTAGAATTTCTTCCTTATTACACAACGATTCCTTTTATACTTTGCTCTCGTAGTTCTTTGTTTATAACCCACGTTAATCGTGTTGTGATGAAATTTAGTTCGAAGGTATTGTGATCAAGGTCTGTCGAATTGCGCTAAAAATTTTCATCCCTTTTTTCTTCCCCATGATAGTCCACTGTGAAGGAATTTAAGGATCAAATTGCTTCCGATGTGGTGAGTATTAAATTGTAACTTGTGAGCGCACTGCTGGTAGAAAAAATGGTAAATGAATACTGAAAATGCATTGAAACTAAAGCCAATATGGCTGCCTAGCTCGTGCATAGGCGTAGCGTTGTAGGTCACGATGACGGAAAACTTGGATGTGAAGGAGTGCTACTTAAAAACCATCCTCTAATTTTTCATTTCCCTCCTCAAACAATTTCTCTGATGAGAGAAAAGTTCCTAAAATTATTTCTTGACCGTTGGTGTAGAAGGGCTAAACAAGGAAGTCACATTTCGAATTTCAGCGATATCAATTAAGTATCGCATACAGTAGTTTCCGGTCTCCTCATTCGATTGCGAAGCTCCAGATCAGATATTTTCATATTTCTCTGGCTGAAAAGTGCGTGTTGGTTAATATTTGTGCATACAAGGTTTGGTTACGCACTTTTCTTTGAATGTGCAGTTTTGCAGTGTATCACATTATATCGTTCGTTCCTCAGAATATACCCTCTGACAAGCAAAGGCTTATTTTCAAAGGCAAGGTATTGCAGGATGATAAGAAGCTTTCAGAATATGGTAATTATATTTTCTATTTATATGACTGTACAAATACACACAAGGTAAAGCAAATTGACATGATTATCTGAACACTTCTGTAAATGTGATATGTCATCTGATTTTCAGTCATTCCTGAAGCACAAGATTACCACAATGTATATTGAATTCAGGTGTTTTATTTACTGAATAAAAAAGCAGACATGTTACACATGTAAACTAATGTTATTTCAATGGTTTTAAAAATGAACTGAGGTTAGTTTGGTATAAGCTGAAGAAGTTAGAGTTTTTGCAATGGCACCATCTCCTTTTATACCCCTGCTGTTATCTTAACATGTTTGTGGATTTAATTGAGGAATATGCTTAATGTGTAAATGGACTCCTACATGCAACTTATGTTTGTTTAATGTAAGATGTACCTTTAGGAACTGTTCACTATTATGTAATGATATTTGTGATAATCTGGCATCATGCAGGTGTTGATGGTTGTGTAATTCACCTTGTGGAAAGGAAACCTCCACCTCTTGGAGCAAGTTCTCAAGGTTTGGGCATTTACATGTTTTTGTGTATGTTGTAAATTGAAATTAAATTCAGGTTAAAATGATTATTTCAAACTTACATGTGTAACCACCTCCCAGTTATCTCAATGGATAGAGAGCTGGACTGTTGTGGAGGAGGTTGAGGGTTCGAGCCCTGGCTGGACCCACACTCAAGGTCTTAAAATAATTGAGAAGAATATGCTACCTTTCTATAACATCAAGAAATGGTTAGATATTCTAGTCTTCTGGGATAGGGACGAATAAATGGAGGTCCCATCTCCTGCAGGGTTAGGGGTAGGAGACGTTAATTTCCCATACACGAGATTACTGTGTGATGGATGTCCTTCCCTGGGGTGGGATGGTTGGGTTTCCACATTTGCATTTAAACAAGCTATAGCTCATATGTGATATGTGGTTAAATAAAATTACTTACTTACTTACTAATTCTAGCTTGACTTGTGTTTTCCTTTGTGTAAGAATCACGGCAATCTTTTCAACAAAGCAAGGAAAATAAAACTTTCATAGAGTTGCTTTTACCTAACTTTATCTGGAAAACAACATGTATATCAAAAGAGTTTTGATACTTCCATTAAAGAAAGGTTGCCAGTCAGACTATTTGAATTTTATTCTGTTATTTTGTATTTGTCAGATGGTCCCAATGGCTCCAGCAGCAGCTCTACCAGCTCATCAGGAAGCCTGCCTCTTGGAGTTGGCCCTAACATTGTCATGGGAGCATTTTCTATGCCAGTTGATGTAGTAGGAGCTACTCAGGTAACCAAGCAAGGGTTCTATAGATTATACAAATCAACCATTAGGATTTGTATCATAGCTACAGCTTGTTTTAAGCTGCTTGCCCCAAGGATAAGCGGATGCTGCAGATCTTCAGCAGATGCCGAGCTTGTCGAAGGCTCCTGGCCAAACCAAGAGCCTTTGTCGCTTTCAGCAAGGATTGGTTTTTTTTTTTTGACAAAATGCTGCCATT